AGAGAACAAAATTTTTTATATATACAAAAGCACCCTTTCGCACCATTGCGTTTCATTCTCTGTGTTCATTTGTTTTTTTTTTTCTTTTTAATATGGTCAATAAATATTTCCATCTCCAATTTTATGGCAAAAATCTCGTCATCTTCCCGCAATAAGTCCTCTGTATCATTAGGAAATAGTACATATCAAACACAAAAAGATGGAAAGTTGAAAGTACTGCGTAGCATAATGATTAGTGTGCAAATTTGAACACCCTGAAATACTCATTAAGTTATTAGTTTTTTAGAAGTTAAAGTTATTGGCATTGCCATGGATGTGATAAATGAATTCGTATGTGCACGTGCATGTACGAAACGTAATTAGCAAAAATTCGTAAGTGAATCATTTTTTCACAGGTGTTATTAGATCTCTGAGAAAATACATCTTCAAGAAATGCCTTATATTTGTTCTGCTCGACTTCAGTTCCGTGTGTACCTTTTCTGCTCTGCTTATGTCTACTGCTTTTTTTTTCTTTTTTTTCCTTTGCCTATTAATCGTTATGTTCTGTCCTTTCGTGTTTTTCGATATTTTATTTAATGGCACCACACTTTTATAATGTTAAATTATATGTTAGAGGGCGCTGGAAAGGTAGCACAAAGTCGGGGCTTTTTAACATCTCCCAAACAGTGCAACCGCAGCAGCCTTCCTTTCACACCAGTAAATCTGCTCAGCATGTGCCACATTAGTTTGCCCTCCTATCTCGTTTACCAAAAAATATTGTGTTTGCTTGACAGGGCACCTCTAATTGACCCTTCTATTCTCAGCAATTATTGTTCTGTGTGTCTGTAATGTTCTTCTCTCTCTGCATGTAAGCGATCAATCTAGAGTAAAAAGATGAATGTCGACTCACGGAGAAGTGAAAATTTTACTAATCTCACCAAATGCCTGTATGCCTGTAAACTGAGTTTTCTGGAAATCATGGAGATATTTAATTAACAAACTGCTGGTACACTTATAAAAAGGAATTAATATACCCAAACATTTGTCACTAAAAAAAGCCGTGGAATCCTTGCCTAACTATTAAGTCAATGCCCATAATACAAGTTTCCGCAAGTTTCAGCCTAACTATAGTGCAATTGAACTCGTTGTACGTGCGTTTCAACTTGCAAATGTTTGACTGAAGCGCTGACGATCAATTTGATGGATTTGCACCATTGAGTACAATTTTTTACATTGTTTAAATACAGAGTGAATTTCGGTGGATCAAAAAGATTTAGGTTTTTTCATTTTTTGTGTAAATTTATAATTTCTACTTTAGTGAAAAAAAGGGATGCTTATTTCGTTTTCAAACATTCCAAACACTTGTTCAAATAATGGGGCAGTTTTTATTTACAAAAAGATTTTAAGCACATTCCCTTTGAGCTTTAAGATGGCCTCATACTACGTAATTTAGAGTAGTGATTTAATGACATCTTCATCTATAGAAACTCTTATGTCCTTTCCCTCCTCTCCTGTAATTACTCGTGAACGAAGCAGTATTAAATGACTGATAAATAGACTAGAAAGTGCACCAGTGTCCCGAGATCTTCCATAAATTCGCTATACTGCATATTTATATCTGTAGACTTTATTTGTGAACCATTGAGGTGGTTCGGCAAAGCCGGAATACTCTTAAACAGAATATCTGGGATCTACTGTAAATAAAAAAATGTTTATTTCAAATTAAGATAAAATTGTTTTTTTTATATCTAAAGCAAACGATATTCTATATGTTAGAATGTGGTTTCCGTTTGAAGACATTTTAGAGCGCAACGCCCATTCCTTTTGTCCTCACTGAAGAAAATATATTGTTCGATCCAGTAAATCCAGAAAAAAACTGCAAACACAGCCACTCGCGAAAACAGATATATGAGACAAAGGGAAAATTGATAGGACTTTATATAATGCATCGCATGTAATTCTGCGCAGTCTGAGAGCTGCTAGCTTTCCTGAAATTTGACGAGAAGGAAAAAGGAAAAAAATTTGCAGCTCTTAGATAACTTCTGTTTTTAACAAAGTACCAGAGTGTTGTGATAACGTATACGCCCTATATATGTAAAAGAGTTTGATAGTATCTTCGAAGTCTGACATGAGTGAAAACACTTGCAGAGCCTAGCATTCAGTGCCATAACCTTCCTCCATTCTCATGTCCGTCCTCATTCTTGATCGCTTCATTCTGATTATTCTAATTTTACGTGCAATAGCAGTAAAAGACAATTCCTTATCCAGAACGGTGATCCAATCAGAGAGATTTGCAAAATCCACCAAAAATTTTTAGGAACCGGTTTGTAGACATTTCTCTATGACAAAGCAATCTTGCCGATCAGTCTACCTTAATGAGGTTGTTGCTCTATTGTAGGAAACTGTGCTCACATACACCCTCAGCGGAACAAAGAAAGTTATCAAATTCTTGAGAAATTTATGATTTGAAAAATGATTTTTTTGAACTGAAGAATGGTTACTTCATTTCGCATTTTCACGATCCCAATTAACTCGAGTATGATATCACAGTTTGCTGAAGAATTACAAATTGGAAGTGAATGAACTGAAACAGTACAACACATTTTGTTCTACGAAAAAAAAAATAAAAAAGTGAAATCGTGAATGCGGCACTTCCCGATTGCTGTGGTGCCTGAAATCTTCCACATACCTGTTCCCGGTATGCACACAAATATTAAGCAGTTACAAAACAAAAGCTGGCATATATCCAATAATGAGAGTAACGGCGAAACTAAAAACGTACGTAATATAATATTTTGGAAAAGTCGTCAGTTTGGATTTCCTATTTTTTTTTCTTCATCTCCATGCGAAGAAAAACGAAGTGATGTTGAAAATTAAGATTGCAAACTTCCTTGAGTGAAGATAAGATAAACTGCGAGATCTGCTGCACATCTTCTTGAATGAGAGGTTTGAGAAATCCTAAGCT